TTTCTTGAGGGGCAATTTTGAGAGGGAAACATTTGGTTACCCATTGGCACAAAAGTTAGGGCTATGAGGCGAATGTGAACTGCTGATCCCAGAGAATACAATTTTATGGAATTCTGCTTGGAGTGGAATTAGAAATATTGAAGCACAAGTAGAGGCTGACTCAAACACGTTAGACTAAACTGCTAGAGCTCCCAACTCGTCGGTGCTAGACATCGGTACTGTTTGTGGGGCCAATCAGCCCACGGCACTCACTTCTCAGCGCCGGTATTAATTCTGGATAGTCAATTGAAAGAATGATGGAACCCAAGATGAACACGGGAGTGAAGTTTTGCACGGGACCGATGCAGGATTGAAATTCATACTTCCGAATCATATCGAGTTAAGGCTGAGCATACGACAGTCTTGTGATCTTGTCGTATGTGAATCAGATCGGACGCTCGACCTGGGCAGATTATCCGCCAAGTCAGAAGTAGCCTATCTGGATTGAGAGTCCCGTAGAGCACCAAATTGATAGTCAGTATTCTGTCAGTCGTCCTTCAATCGGACAAGCCCCCGACCGTGCCAGCGGTCCCTGGTAACTTGAGAACGTGTGTCAACCTTCATCCTCTTCTTAGAATTTGCTGAAGCTTGGCGATCGGGAGATTGTAGCGAGCATTCTTGAAGAAAGAGGGTCAGAATGTTCATGAGCACGCTACGTAATGAGACGCGTTCCGATTCTCCGATATGTTTATTGTCTTGTTCTTGTTTTTGTCATTATGGGTCCTACGGCCTAAAAATTTATACAACAACCTAGGAACTAAATTAACGTATGTTAAGGTGTCTTACATCAACATGAGTTACTTCCTATTCATGACAGGAAAGAAAGGCTTCAGTTTTAGTGGAAAGTCCAAATCGGTGGCAGAAATCGAAGATGATTTTGAGGGAGTCAAGGTGAGCAATGCAAGAACTTTATTTGGAACTATGTGATGGTTTGATATACCAGTGATTCTTGGTCATGTGGATCAAAAGATCAATTTATTTGGGATTGGCTTCAGGCAACATTCAGAGCGTCATATTCTTTAAGCGATCGTAGTTGCAATTATTGGAATTGATGGTCATCTGAGCGGAGTGTGACCAGGTCGACGCAAATATCTAATTTGGTTTCAACTGCTAGTTATCATTTGGCTATGAGCAAAGATAACCTGGTGAAGGCCAACATCCAAATGTCCTGGAACATGCGTGAGAGGCTTTGAAACCCCTCCAAAGGTTCCCAGTCAGGATAGGCTACGTTAGTTTGAACTCACTCAGAAGTGGCTCTATGTGACAGTAGATTGGCAGTGCTGCTCCTTGAAAACAACAATCAGCTGCAGAGAGAGTGGAAATAGTGTTCAAAGGGTGTAAGGTTTGAGTCCGTGAATGGCCCAAGTTTTTGCAGATAGTGGTTACATTCAAGTGCGAGTGGGTGAAATCAGGGTGGCGGAAAGGGCCACCTTGCAGGGAGACGTCCATGATGTAGCGCCCGCCTTCTTCTTTGGTATTGAATACGTCACGGGATTAATACTGCGGGATGTACAAAACTTTGCAACCTTCATAGGCTAATCAGTTTCCGCTATAACTCCTTCAACGTCGACAGAGGGGTTTCTCAGTACAGTGGTAACGATTCCGCTCATCAGACATTACACCGAAGTTTTGCCGACAATGTGGCACCATGGCAAATTGCCAATGGCTCAAGGTAATTGTACTGTATAATAAAATAAAGGATAAAGCATTTGCCGTTGATCAATCCCTTTTGGGATGCGGCACGCATTCTACTTCCATTTGTACATTCGCAGTGGCATTTGAATGCGATGTGGCCTATACAATGACTTGCGGGGGCCAGCCGATGTTCAAGTCAGTGTTTTTATCCTCCCAGACAAGTCTGGTACCAATTAACCGACCCCGGAGGGATGGAAGGCTTGGTTGGCCCGGGCGACTCACGACCCAGGATTTGATCCCGGACCGCTCGCGTGGTAAGCGCGCCACTTGTCACTACACCACTTCCGCCCTATGTAAATTAGTAATATGTTTAATATGCCACCTGTCAATGGCAATTTCTTGGAGTAACATCGCGTGAATTCCAAGATTTGCAAATAACAACTTTTGGTTACCTGTTGTCAACATCACTCCTAACGCTGTTGTCGAGTGATCCCTGGTGCACTAAAGCAAATCCCGGCTGTGAGCCTTATCCCCAGGGGTCTAGTCGTCAAGAATAGCCGCAAATTCGTGCAGATTAGTGAGGCCGAGCTAGCGCGTTCATTCTGGCAGTCTGCCCAATGATATTCAAATGCTCCTTATCCGTCAACGGGGAAAAACATCACATTTCATTGCCGGTTTGTGGAACTTTACGAATGCCCCAGAGGTGAACGTGAGCTCAAGCAGTAGATATAGTGACGTGCTCCCTGATATGCAAACGCTCTATATATAGACCAGTTCTGTCCATGGGCATTGTTCTATTAAGAAAATATAATGGAATTCAAAAGCTTTGTGGATTTCAAGGAGTTGGTAAGGCTCTCTTGCCTAACGAGAGAATATTTCCATACCCACTATTGTAATGAGACGTAACGTTTTTGATGTTCTTTGCAGGTACTCATTGCTGTCTGCCTCCATGCGGTAGCAGGATTTTGTGTATTGATTTGTATAGGCATATTTTTCGCAAGCAAAAAGCTGACAACTACAGTGGTAGGCCTGGAAGACTTGATTTTTTTTTCGAAAAAGTGAAAGGCGCCTTGTTATAAAGTCAGGCCTAATGAAATTCGGAACGCTATTGTTGCACTTTCTGAGAGCGCTCTCACCAAATTTGTCAAAGCTGAAGTTCCTTCTAGAGGAATGGGAAGACATAAAATTTTTGACACTTCAATCAAGTGTGTGCAATGTCTTGATCGTAAGATCACAGGCCAGAATATAAGCACGCACCAAGATCGAACTTGTGTGCTTCTTGCACGAAAAAACATTGGGGCAAAGTGGGCAGTTGTAAAGAGAAAGACGGACAGCTCTCGTTCTGCACTCTGGAGGAGTCTAAGAGGCAGAGCGACTTATAAGATAACCAGTTCAGCTCCGCATGCTACTGCGCGCATGACCGACGGTGACTACACAGCTAGTGGAGCGTTTGGTTCCACCGCTGAAGGAAAAGTTGATTGCAAAAAAGCCAACTGCCTTATTGGCTACCAACTTCTAACAAATTTTCATCGTCTTTTACTAAATACCTCAAAATCTGTGTCATCATAATAGTCTTGTTATTTGACTTCCGCACCATCCGACTTGGAATCTTGGAGAATAGAATTTCCTTCACTGTCGTGGAACGCCGCGTAGTCCTCTGACTGGTTTATCTGTGGAAATGTCCCATTTCTCATCACTTGTTTTCGCATGTTGCACCTTATACATTAATGTGGGGGGCAACAAAACCACTAGCACAAGAATCAAGAATCATGAGTGGCCTTGAAAATTACCTTTTGAGAACTGGGTCACCTGTATCACCTGTCGTCCCGTTGATCATCGAATTGCTCGAGCGGGCGCCAGCAACGTCTCCATTCGTCCCTGTCGCGTGCAAGAGTTGTCCAGTGGACCCTCCTCGCTCGAGGGACACGAAGTCCTTCATTCCTTTCGTTCAGAGCTTTCGTGAAGAAGTCTGACCATCGGGCCGGCGGTCGTCCAGGACAGCACCAAAAAAGTTGTAAAATATACTGCTGCCGGTTTGACCCCCCGTGGCGACAAGATTTCGCATTCGGGTTGGCGCCTACGGGTTGGTGTACTGACTGCCGGCTTCCTCATGCCGCCCCTCCCAGAGCAGGCGAAACGCGCCGACTCCGGAAGACGGATTCTACGACGGAAAGTAGCCCATTGGAAACCAAGTTTCAGGTCGGTGATGCACGAAAGAAGAAAAAACCAAGAAAAACGGCCTGGAGTCCGGGAAATAGGACTCTTTTCTTGCCCGTTGCGCTAGTAGCGCGCCATTTGCGCTGAGTGAAAGGCTTTGGCAGATCGTCGAGTGCATATCCTTCGATGAAAATTATGTGTTGGTCCGACTTTAGGAGGTCCGCTAGGTGAAACTTTGTTGGCTCCGTACTTATGGCAGAATTAAGTGCCCTTGGCTGGAAGAGGGACCGGAGCCAGGAGCATACCCATATAGCCGTTGCATATCCACGCGATTAGGGAGCAGAATAGTGCCCTAGCGTGACGCCCGGAACCACAGCCGCGTACAGCGACAGTCTCTTTTTGATACTATTGATGCATTATTCCGTTATTACGCACTATTGAAACAAATAGGTTTTTCAGTCTCTTGGTGAACTACTGTAGTCACATTCCGATAGTGTCCATTGGAGGAGAAACGAGCAATTCGTCTTATTCTTCAACTTTCAGCGCATCCCGCCTGGTGGCGGGATCCGCTTTTGTGGTCAATCATCCCCACCTTTCTCGATTCTATGCCTGATCGGGCTGAAGTCCAACTAATTCTCAAGTCCGTCATGCAAAATATCGAGCCGTCGTTGCTTTGAGTGCATGCTTGGTTGCTTTTCTGGCACGCTGAAGTCCATTTTGATCTTACGGACACGTTCGTCATTCGTGGCACGCTGAAGTACATTCCAGTCTTACGGACACGTTCGTCATTCGCGCGAAGGATGTGATCGTACTACCTTAGGCAAGCTTCGCATCTAAGCAGTAGTGGGAGCCACACCGGCTCGCTCTCTGGGTAAAATGTGTCTAACCCCGTGGTCCTGTTCAGCAAAGAAAAGAGGCACGTGCACATCCAGCATCGGTTTTAGTCAGCAATCCCTACCAGTTTCGGCTTGTCATCAAAGTCACACGACTGAATTTCATATGATAACGAATCCAACACCTCATGATTACTTGTGATGAAATGTCGTTTAGCTCGTCGCCGTTTTGGCATTCGTATTCTTCTTTAATATCGTGGCTGCAATTTTACTGTTCATCTACAATGGGCGCAGCAATCAGGACAAGACTGCAATCAAAGATTGTGGAGTGAGGCTTCCGATTTCAATTTGCTGTTAAACGTACCACTTTACATTCGAACTTCTACTCAAAACGTCTACTACTGTATTTTGACCTTCTTTAATACGTGAAAACGAAACCAATAAAAAATTGATCAAAATCAAAAAAGGTCTGTCCAATAGTTGTATCAAATTCCAGTATCTGTCGATGGCAATGGCACTAGCCGTGGTGGGAATAGGCATTTTCTTCGCGAAAAGACCACCTTCAGCAGAGTTCGAACAAAAACGAAGAGGTCCAGAGGCGATCCCACTTCAGTACGTGAAAACTAATTTTTTTTCTGAATTTCTCGTCAAATGGAAACCGAAGATTGTAAACCTGTTTCTGGCTAAGGTGAGTGTGTTTGGAGCACTGTTTGAAAATCTTAGCTATTGGGATTGGGATAACATAAAGCGCCATTCTACCAAATTATTGGGCTGCGTCGCCGAAGTTTGAGCTGCGGAGGGACTTTTGAACTAGGGATCACATTTCTAGGGCTCAAGTCACGGGTAGGGATAGGTGCCGTCTTTGAGAGAGGAGGGTTCCCCAAGCATAGGCATAAGAGTCGCGTCACTACCCCTATTCAAAATTGCGCAGCTAGGGCGCGAAGGCCATATCTTGTTCGCTGTCAGCGCTGCCACCCTTCTCAATCGCAGCGTACGTAGCGCTGACGCCCTCTCATTTTCACTCAGTGCTGTGTCTTCTGTCATACCACGGTCACAAAGGAAATTTCAATACTTTCTATGGCGAGTTTTGCTTTTTCTTTCCACTCACTCTCCTTATCGCAAATCTTGTCAATTTTGCCAACAAAATAACACCCAAATTTAACCCTGACCCGTGCCTTCAAGGTGCCATAGCGAGGCTTGCTGTTGTTATAACTCTCTTTCCTATTACATAAAGCATTCATTCCAATCACATTCATTCCACAAAGTGATCATTCCAAATGAAAACGTGTAGAGGGAGTAGCGCACGCAGTAAAGACTGTGAGGGCGGTTCCCGAGGAAAAAATTGGTTAAATGTAGATAGGCAGCTAGTACGGGGTGTCCCAAAATTACTTGCGCCTATTTATTGCAATGTCTTTGAACTGTTGGACACAGAATGGTAATTGAATATAAACATAATTATACTAACATCATACACAACAACATGCAACAACCAGATTTCAAAATGTCCTCCACCTGCACGAATACAGGCCCGGAGTCTCTTCTTGCACCATTCGCACGTTGCACGCAGGTGTTCCTTATCCAATTCTTCCCAGGCTTCCTTTGATGCTGCTTGCAATGGTTGCAGATTCATACGACGAGCTCGACATGCCTTGCTCTTAATCATGGACCAGACTGAGAGTTCCAGTGATTAAGATTAGGGGAGCAAGAAGGCCATTCCTCGCGGCGACGAAGTCGGGCAGCTCGCACATGCCTCGAACGAGCTTGGCCTCCAGCGGCTGTAGCAATCTCCTGCTAGCAAGACTACGGCTTCTCCCAGGGGTTGGATCAAGGCTTCAATACGTTCACTAACATGCACGTCCTTGCTGATCTTCCACACATGAATCGGCAAAATTCAACGGCATCTCATCATTGGCCGCGACTCACACCCAATTCATTACTGATGCCGAGTTAGCCGTTCTTCAACAATCTTTCCTCGTGAGATGACACTCCCGATATTTCTAACTAGAATGTGATCGCTTTGGCGATTCAACACCGGCTCCACAGCGAATATTTTCTGTCAGAAAAAAAACGATCGAGAGTTGCGTATCGCCAGTGAAGCGCGCTAGTAACCTTCCAACTTTTCGGCCTCTCTGCTGTTTGTTGCTGAACAGAATGAAGCGGCACTTCTGCATGTGATAGAGTTTGTAGTGCTGCTTCTCCTTAATGATGCGCCCCATCGATGACTTCGATAAATTCAGCGGCCTCGCCATCCTTCTGATGGAGCACCGTGGATTGCTAAGCAAACATTTCGATAATTCTATCCGTAGAAACGCTGACCATTCTTCTTTGTCCAGGCTTGTGAATGAGTGTTCTTATTCTTTTGCACCGTTTGTTGGTGTTCACGGGAACATCAAGAAATTTAACAATGTCCTACGATGCAGCCTCTTCCTCGCGCACGCGAATGATCGCAGGTCACCTTGGATCACCTCTCGCCATCTCAGAGATACTGGCAGTTTTACCCCAATAACGATGCAGTTCACAAGAGAACCTACCTGCACAACTAATTAGTAGCGCGCGAAATGAAAATAATCGATATACCTTTTCCTAATGAATTTTTGAAATTTGGCGCAAGTAATTTTGGGACACCCTGTAGAATAGGTTGGCAAAAAATGGTGCTCTGACAGATGCAACACTGCGAAGAGTGCACACCAAGGCAAAGATTATAATTTCAAATTTGGCCATCCATAATAATAGTACCGTCCAAAAATCAAAAAAGAACAAGTTATTTCAGATTTGGAAACATGGGTGCTCAACCTGCAGCCCCAGGTCAAGATTACTTTGATCCGCCACCACGTTAGATCAATGAAAAGGATGTAGCACGAAATTCGTCGTAATTCAATACCCTGTTAAACTGTGTAAATAATAAAGTTTTGTTAAAATTTGAATTGTGCGTACTTCGTGAGCATGCTTCAGTTCCCATTATGGGATAATTGCGATGGGATTGTTTGTAGACACAGGAGTAGTAGGCCGTGTGCACTCACTTGTGCTCTCTTTGTCCTGGTACTGAGCCAATCTCCGCCGTTGGGAGAATAGCTCTACAACTTTGCGCAAACTAGGTCTGGCCATGCTGAGCTGTTGCTAGCCTATGAAGGCATAGTCTCAGCAAAAGTAATTACACCTTAGTGAAGCAGGGACCCTCGCCCAAGTTCTGTGGCAAGTATGTGATAAGGGTAACTGAAGGCAATCGCCGAGGAAGACACAGGATTCAAAAGCAGGGTAATTTGAGAAAGTGGGAGAATGTGTTTTAGTGGCGAAAAAGGCTAGCGCACAGTATTAACTGTTTAGGGTATTGAGAAGTGTTCCCGAACATACCCCTTAACGCACTATGTACCTAATCTACACCAATGACGACCAGTGCCGACCGAGCTCCACTGCTCCGTGTTCTTAAGCGCCTGTACTCGCGCTATTGGCGGAATACTAAAGGAACATGAAAATTTGGAATTTGAATCCCTTCGCTAAAAGTCTTGCACTCATCAACAGTTCAACCCATAACGGGCGGCGGCGTTTTGGCGTGAGCGAGCCTGTGTGTCAGTTGGCTTTTTCACCGTCTCTCGCGCGTGCGCCATGGGGCACACAGGGTAGGTTTTGTGCAAGCTTGTGCTAGTGACGCTGGAAACCATGTTTTTGTGCCCGAACTTTCTAAACTAAAGGGAATTCGAGCAGTTGACGTCCATGTAGCCCTCTATTCTGCTACGACACTCCAGTGAGAGCAGGTTTACTGAACAAAAAGAAGCTACTCCAGATTCGATCTCCGGACACCACGCATCGAGCAACTGTTGGATAAGCCATCGACATTTATTTATTTATTTATTTATTACTATGCACTCGTAGGTGCGCTACAATAATTAGTCAGAAACCAAATCGTTATAAAATCGGAAACATCGACTTAAAGTAAACACAATTTAAGCAGTATTTTACCCACAAGCGGAAAGTTCACAGACACATATTATTCGAAATTGATGCCTAATAAGGCAAGTAAGTCAATGTTCTTTAATTTTCTTTTGAACGTATCGGTGTTTTGTGCCAGTTGCAAGTCTGAAGGTAATAATTGAAGCCATCTCGCTCCGCGAAAGCATAGCGAGTTAAAAACCTGAACCTGATGATTTCTGTATAATCTAGGACATTGTAGTGATAATGAAGTGATGCGACCTCTGCTCGGTCTCATTATCCAGTACTTGCTTGGTCTCAGCTTGAGTTCACCTTTCAACAATTTGAAACAGAATACGATATCATTGAATACCCTCCTGTACATCAATGACTTAAGATTCAAGCGAAGCAAGCGGTTTTTGTAATCGGGTAAAGCTTGTGGATAGGCAGGATTTGCATAACATCGATACATCAAAATTCTAGTAAAAGTCTGTTGAACCTTTTCAATTTTAGCTTGAAGTTTCTTAATGTGAGGGCTCCATATCTGCGAACCATATTCAAGTATGGGAACAACATATGCTTTGTAGAGTTTCAAAAAGATTGAAACATCATTGTGCCGAATATTTCTAAAGATTGCAAATAAGGTCATGTATGCTTTACGAACAATAACATCAATGTGATGCGAAAAATTTAAATCAGAATTTATGAGGAACCCTAGGTCACGAACTTCATAGGAACTAGCGAGTGTAATATCATCAGTTATATATGGTGATTCTAGCTCTTTCCTAGGTGAAGGACCGACGTTTTCGCAAAATTTATAGGTATTCCCCAATCCATAGCCCACTTCATCATGTTGCGAATGGAGTGAGTTAAGGCTTGGTATACACAGTCATAATTTTGCTCATTGTAACTTCCGTATATTTTAATGTCATCAGCGTATATTTTAATTTTGACTAGGGGGTTTGTATTCAGATAAGAGGGCAGGTCATAGGTATATGCAACAAATAATAAGGGTGACAATACTCCTCCTTGTGGGACGCCACTGGTGCAAGAATATTTTTGCGAGAATTGATTTCCCACTTTAACATAAATATGCCTGTCTTTCAAATAAGATTGAATCCAACTTAGTATAGGGCTTTTTCAATTCAATTCCTAACTGCTAGAGCTTGAGGAGAAGTTTCTCATGATTAACCTTATCAAATGCTTTGGATAGGTCAAAATAAATTATGTCAACACCTTTACCCTCATTGATTGCAAGATTCCAGTCAAAGATGCAATCTGCCATGAGAGTACAAGTGGAAGCTCCAGCAATGAATCCATGCTGTTCAAAGGGAATAAGATTGTACTTATTGAAATGTGATACGATTTTATCACGCAAGAGCTTCTCTAAAGCCTTTGCCGGTGGTGCAGTGATACTAATAGGACGAAATGAAGACACCAGCTTTGCTTCAGTTGTTTTAGGAACAGCAGTAATCACAGACTCTCTCCAGCTCGTCGGGATTTCACTGAACATTAGCGAAGCATTTAATATCATGCAAATTGGTTCAAATAAAGATGAGACGCAATTTGTGGAATGCCATCGGAAGGTATTGAAGTGGAGCTCTTGAGTGATCTCAATATTTTGCGCACTTCATCTGGATTTACGGTACATTCTCTAAGGGTATTCAAGCGTTCACAGGTACCAATGATCGCATTGACGTCAATGCTTTCTCCTTTGGTAAAAACAGATGAAAAGAACAATGCTAGAGCTTCCGCTTTTTGAGCATCAGTGACAAATCGATTGCCAGCTTCATCATGGAGTACGGGCATGCTATTACATGGTTTAAATTTATATTTAATCAACGCAAAAATTGTTCTGTTGTGGCAGTTTGTATTCCTACGT